GTCCGATTCAACACTCTTCCTCCACATGAAGCCAGTTGGGTCAGTCACAGCTCTCTCAGAGCTCTCTCAGCCCCACCTGCCTCACAGGGTGGCTGTTATAGGGAGAGGGAAGGGAGGGTAATTGTAAGCCACTCTGAGACTCCTCCAGGTAGAGAAAAGTGAGGTATAAAATCAACTCGTCTTTCTCCTCCTCCTCCTTCAACCAGGGGTGTTGATGGAATGATCAGAGTAACAAAGTGGCCTTCACTGTGGACACTGGCAGTAACAGAAGAGCACTGGAATGATGTGAAACGGTGATTAATGGAGGAGCCGCTAAGCATCAGCCCAGAACTGGAACTAGAAATCTGATGTATTTATTATTTGTTTATCAAATTTATATCCCACTCCTCTCCCCCAAACGGGACTCGGGGCACTTAACAGCATATAAAACACACCCGATTAAAAAACAGTACAAAAGATACAATAAATAATATATTTAAAAAATCAAATGATTAAAGAAATGTATCCTGGTTAAAATTGATCTGCTATCAAGCAGGGTAGGACGCGTGGACGGTGAAAACGCAGCTGAAACGGAATTTGCCAACTGCCGGGCGGATCCCCATCACCCAAAGGCCACCCGAAAAAAGAGTGGCCTTGCGTGCTCCGTGGACCCCGGGGAGGTTGAATGAGACTGGCTTTCTCCCCGTACTTCTCACAGCCAGCACATGAATATTGAGACATGCAGACAGCTAGATAAGGGGGAAAGGGGGGGGAAGTATTAAGAACAATCAGTATGAGTCTCTTCTAGTGCGGACAGATCAGGCCTTGGTGGTCATCATGTTTGATGGTTTCAGGGTTGAAATGGAAAAGAAAGATGGACAGTGGATCTGTAATCCACACTTTACCAAAATTGATATTAAGGAGGAAAGGCCAATTCGGGGAGAAGGACATGGCTCTGTTCCGTATGGCGCACTTCGTACTGCACTCTGCAGGCTTTAACACTGCAGGAATTTTAGCTTTAAATTGATTCATGGGCACACAACTCAAGCGATCTCTTTCGTATTGCAAAATATAAATTAATCATTTATTTAAAATGCATGTGTCCTCCCTGTCTCTAGGGACTTAAGGCTTTTAACAAGGTGCCTCAGATACAAATTACAATGAAATAGAGACCATTTACAGAGGCCTGTAAAATGGAGCTGTTCCTCCGGGCTTTCGGTCGAGTGATTACTGCACTGATGATTTAACATCAGGAATCAGCAGCGTAGATAAGGTTTACAGTATTTACCTATCAGAGGAAGGCTGTCGACAGAAAGAATGGAATCTTGGGGGGAAAGGGGGGGGAAGTATTAAGAACAGCCAGTATGAGTCTCTTCTAGTGTGGTCAGATCGGGCCTTGGTGGTCATCATGTTTGATGGATTCAGGGTTGAAATGGGAAAGGAAGATGGACAGTGGATCTGTAATCCACACTTTACCAAACTTTATATTAAGGAGGAAAGGCCGATTCATGATAGGGAGGAAAAGGCTTATTTATGTACGGGGAGAAGGACATGGCTCTGTTCCGTATGGCACACTCCGTACTGCGCTCTGCAAGCTTTAACACTGCAGGAATTTTAGCTTTAAATTGATTCATGGGCACACAACTCAAGCGATCTCTTTCGTATTGCAAAATATAAATTAATCATTTATTTAAAATGCATGTGTCCTCCCTGTCTCTAGGGACTTAAGGCTTTTAACAAGGTGCCTCAGATACAAATTACAATGAAATAGAGACCATTTACAGAGGCCTGTAAAATGGAGCTGTTCCTCCGGGCTTTCGGTCGAGGCAGCGGACATCCAAAATCCATCTCTGGCCTCCCCTACTGAAAGCGCAGACTCTGTGATCAGCCTAAACTGAGCATAGCAACACCAAGCTTGATTGCTGTTTCTATTGCTGTTTTATTAAATCATTGTTTTAATTAACTATTGTTGCTGAGACTATGTGACCTGCCCTGAGCCCGATCGCGGGGAGGGCGGGATAAAAACCAAATTAAATAAAACATAAAGTAAAATAAATATTAGAAGAAGAGAAGAAGAGATGAGATTTATACCCCACCCTTCACTACCCAAAGGAGTCTCAGAGCGGCTTACAAGCTCCTTTTCCTTCCCCTCACCACAATAGACACCCTGTAAGGTAGGTGGGGCTGAGAGAGCAGTGACAGAAACAGCTCTTTTTCAAGGACACTTCTGACAGAACTAATGGCTTGCCCAAGGTCATCCAGCAGCTGCAAGTGGAGGAGTGGGGAATCAAACTCAGTTCTCCCAGATTAGAGTCCACGCTCCTAACCACTACACCAAACTGGCTCTCAGAGAAGAGGAGGAGGAGGAGATTGGATTTATACCCCACCCTTCACTACCCAAAGGTGTCTCAGAGCGGCTTACAATCTCCTTTCCCTTCCCCTCCCCACAACAGACACCCTGTGAGGTAGGCGGGGGTGAGAGAGCTCTTGACAGAAACTGCCCTTTTTCAAGAACAGCTGTGCCAGAACTATGGCTTGCCCAAGGTCATCCAGCCAGGTGCAAGTGGAGGAGTGGGGGAATCAAACCCGGCTCTCCCAGATTAGAGTCCACACATTTAACCACTACACCAAACTGGTATGCAATATCATACCGCCACTAGCACTTTTTCCTGTTATGTATATGATTTTTAAAATGTCTACAATTTGTGTTTTAATGGATGTTAACCTTTTAATGTAAGCCGCCCTGAGCCAGGCGCAGTGGGGAGGGCGGGATATAAATTGAATTAAATAAATAAATAAATGAAAACATCTTTCAAAAGTGTTTAGGGGGAAAAGCTAAAATACATATAAAACAGATAAAATACATGATAAAACAGATAAAATACATGGCGGTGCTGGAAAGGGGCATCAGAGTCACAGCTGAGTTATGGCGACCCCTGTAGGGTTTTCAAGGCTCAGCTCAGAGGTGATTGGCCATTATCTGCCTCTGCATAGCAACCCTGGACTTCCTTGGGGTCTCCCATCCAAGGACCAACCAGGGCTGACCCTGCTGAGCTTCCGAGATCTGATGAGATCGGGCAGGGGTCATTTCGTAGAAAAAGAGCTAGGGGAACTCATTAGCATAACTCATTAGCATATGCCACACCCCCTGACATCAGGGGCCCGGCGGTGGACCTGCAAGGCCAGCGGGAGTGCGAGGAAGCCCCACCAAGGCCCTCCCTGGCCCCAGGCAGGCAGGGGTGGGGAGAGGTGGGGAGGAAGCAACTTACCCTCCCTCTTCTCCTGCCTCCTCCTGGCTGAATGAGGGCCAGAAGCGGGGCGGCCGGAAGCAGGGGGCGGGGCTTCGTCATGTGCCCCACCCCCTGCACCTCACCCAGGGGAACTGCGATCCCCCGAGATCCCCCCCGAAATGACCTCTGAGATCGGGCTATCTCAGGCTATCAAGGTCAGGGTGTTAAAATACATACAAAACGTAAAACCTTGTTTCAGAAGGTGGGGTCATTGAGAGAATGCCAAATGAAATAAAAGAGTCTTCACCCACTGGTGGAAGAGGGCAACAGAAGAAGGTTTGCTTCTTTTTATGATGCAGAAGAGCTACATAACAAAAAATGAGGGTGTGTTGTTGTTTTTTGCATAGAGGTGAATGGTCTAGAAGAGGTTAATCTTATTGTTACTTCCCTTTCAACACCTAGTCTATAAATATAACTCTGGGAGAACCGGAGATTAGGATATTATGAGTATCATTGTGGAAAATATTTCTGGTAAAAGAGAAATCCTAAAATTGGGGAGGGGGTGAGAATTCAGTAGAGGAGGATTTCACAGGCAACCTTTTCTCTAAGAACGCATCCTTCCATTCGTTACTTGTGCCTTATGAGGCATATGAGTTTGCTCAGATTTTCTTTAAATTGACCGCTTTCCAGATTCCTGACACACAAAAGTCACAAGGGAACCACAGCAGGAAAAAGAAGCAGGGAAAGCAGATAAAGCAGGAACGCTCTGGAAAAGGGGAAATGCTAAATATGCTCTAACTGCAGCACTTGCCTCAGAACCAATACATTTGATGTATCTGAACATACTACCCGGGGGGGGGGGGAACTTGCCATTCTTTTGATGGCATGCCCCCCCACCCCACCGCAAAAGTCACAGCTGGTTCTTAGAACTAGCATGGTGTAGTGGTTAAGAGCAGCAGACTCGAATCTGGAGAACCAGGTTTGATTCTCCACTCCTCCACGTGCAGCTGCTTGTGTGTCACGAGTCCTCTCAGAGCTGTTCTCAATAGAGCAGTTCTCTCAGAGCTCTCTCAGCCCCACCCACTTCACGCACAGGGTGTCTGTTGTGGGGAGGGGAAGGGAAAGGGGTTTGTAGGCCACTCTGAGACTCCTTTGGGTACCGAAGGGAGGGTTATAGATCCAATCTCCTCCTCTTCCTCCCCCCCATTTACTTTTCTTTCATTCTTCTTGTAATTATATGCCCAAATTGCTATTTAACCCACTGGCCATGACAACTCATGTAATTTTGTTCACAGATACCAATGCATCAGAATACCAGGAAAATGGGTTGCATCCAAAGCATCACCAGCAGAGTGGCAGGAGACTTCCACCACTCACTCCTTTTCCTGGAGCCCATTGAGCCCCCCCCCGGTCAATTTTACTTGGGGGGGGGCAAAGTACCATCAGGAAAATATGGGGGAGGGGGTAAGAGCAATGCAGACTTCTTTAAAATGCTGCTTTAGCCGCAGCTACCATCAGAAAGATTTGTGCTGTGTGACTGAAGGCGAGCTGTGGCTGCCATTTTGTGGCTGGCTCCACCTCCTGCGGCAGTTATCTGTTGGCAGCCATTTTGTGGCTGTGCCCACCATGCTATTTTGGAATTCCAAATGTGCCCACAGGCTCAAAAAAGATTTGTGACCCCAGCCTTAACTGTTACAGAACTTCATACTATGATAGCAAAGGAAGAATAGGCATTCCAGTGATCATTCTAAGCTAGGATGGAGAGAGATGCTGAGATCACATCCTACCCTCATGAAACGAGAAGACAGCCAGAAGGAAGTCCCTGAGAATGGCATTCTGGGAAGATACAGGGTAAGGAAGGAGCATTTGGGCGTCGGAGACTGGGGGAATAGTGCCATGTCACAGTGCCACTCCAGGAATCCCCGCAATCTCTATGGTTTCACTGAGGCCCCCCCACTGCTCTGGCCCTGTCTTTGCTCAATAGAGCAGCATGTGCAAAATACGGGGACAACATCTTGGGACACTCTAGGAATTCCCCTAATCTCTACGGTTTTACTCATACCCGATAATAGAGCAGCATGTGCAAAATACGGGGACTCTAGGAATTCCCCTTATCTCTACGGTTTTACTCATACCCGAGAAGGTATTTTTGGGTACATTTTTGCTTGGGAAGATCCGAATGCACACCCCGAATTTTTGGTTGTCAAGTTGCAGTCAGCTCACAGCAACTCCTTAGAGTTTTCAAGGCAAGAGTCATTCAGAGGTGACTTGCTGTTGCCTTCCTCTGCATAGCAGCCCTGGACCTCCTTGATGGTCTCCCATCCAAATACTGACCAGGGCCGACCCTGCTTAGCTTCCGAGATCTGATGAGATTGAGCTAGCCTTGTCCACCCAGGTCAGGGCTCTAGTCTGCTACTGGCAGTGTACCCAAACCGTGCTAGATTATCCCGTCAAATTAAAGAATGAGGCCTGTGTTAAAAGCGGTTCTCTTAAAAAAAAACACCACCACCCCTCTGTCTTGGAACAGAAGTTCCTAATGAAGAAATACCGCGTTCCCAAACAGCAACGGAAATCTCTTTCATCCAGGTGACTTATTCCGACAGAAAGCTAAAGACCTTTTCATACCCCATTATAAAAACATCTTTTTGGATGGGATCATGCGGAACAAATGGGAAGGGCATCGACGAATCTCGTTGAGAACCTTGGGCCTCGATGCACTGAGTGATGTGAGACCGTACCAACAGCTTAGCCAAAGGGGGGGGGGAGAGTCTCAATATGGTGCCATGCATTCCAGGTGCTTAAATAGCTGCATCATGCGGTTTAAAGATAGTCTTTGCACCAAAGATGCAATAGGGCAGGGGTGGCCAAGCTCGCTTAATGCAAGAGCCACATAGAATAAATGTCAGATGTCTGAAAGCCGCAAAACATGAACAAATACCACACACACATTTTTACTGGAAAAATATGTAAAATTACTTTTTATTAACACTAAATTAACATTACTTCTTCACCCAAAGAGTGATTAACACATGGAATTCACTGCCACAGGAGGTGGTGGCAGCTACAAGCACGGACGGCTTCAAAAGGGAATTAGATAAGCATATGGAGCAGAGGTCCATCAGTGGCTATTAGCCACAAGGTATAGATAGGGACTCTGGGGCAAGGGATGCTCTGTATTCTTGGTGCTTTGGGGGGGGTCAACCGTGGGAGGGCTTCTAATGTCCTGGCCCCACTGGTGGACCTCCTGATGGCACCTGGTATTTCTGGCCACTGTGTGACACAGAGTGTTGCACTGGGTGAACCACTGGCCTGATCCAACATTGGCGTCTCTTATGTTCTTATGTAAATGAGACTGCCAAAAATAAAAACAAAAGGTAAGAACAGATATTGATAATGATATTTATTTGTCCAGTGGTATTTATTTGTTTGCTAATTATATTTATTTGTCAGAGAGAGGGAGAGAAGGCAGCTTTAACTTTAAATGTGTTCTCCAACCCCCCTCCCCCCCATGCCAGCCAGCGTTGGTTTGAGGAAGGGGTTTAT